ACATTTTGGTATGGGATGATTAATTAAAGTAAATAGATAAAATTAATTTTTAAAAAAAAAAGAAAAAAAGAAAAAAAAATGCATAGCTATTATTAGATATTCCAGAATAAAGAACCATGTTGATGAACTTGGTTAGGATAATAGTAGAATCAACATGAAAACTGCATGTAAGGATATAATTTTTACCGGAAAAAGAATAAATATTGAACAACCCAGTGTCACCAGGAAAGCTACCAAATAATCAAATCCCTTATATGTCTTCTGCATGATGCAAGTGCCCCAAATCTAAATAAAAGACAAGAGAAGAGCAAGTCAAGTTTGCAACATTTAACTACCAGTTAGATATATAAAAGAGATTATTAATAATCATCACTGACTACGAGTGAGAGAGAGAGAGAGAGAGAGAGAGAAAGAGGGAGAGCAAGATCATAGCAAATTAACACACCATAACAGGTATCATTTTGGCACACTTTGCAAGTGTCTGAACTGGAAAGCTCACATACTTGAGGGCCTGAATTATGAAAAGATTGTTGTTAAAATGAATACTAGCTATACTCAAGATTCCTCAATCTATATTCTACAGGTCCATATTTAGCAAACTAAGTTAAAATACAGTTACATAATGCACTTAAAGGATGGAAAGAAAAATCATAGTATAAAGAGCTGGAACGACGCCATGTACCTCATATTGACATGTTGTGGTAAGTATGTTTGAAACTGATATGAGACAGTACTTGTAGACTGGAGCAACAGGATCCAATGCTTTTTTACTTGCCTGGAGAAGAAAAAGAAAGTATAAAAATTTTCTCAACATTTTTTAACCCACAATGTTATTTCTCTATATTAAGGCATCATCACTGATTCACTAGCTTCAGCACACACTCCCAACCCCTGAGGCCCAAAATCACAATGAAAATGGCAACAGTAGCAAAGAAAAATCACCAAAATATGCCAACAACAATTACTTACAAGTAAAACACCAGCAGAAACAGTAGATGTTGTGATGCGGTTGCAGAAAACAAGAAATAGTGAATACTTAAAATATTCCTTGTTTACCCCATATGGAACCCTCATGATCTTCTCCTGCAAGAAAATAAACTTCAAAACCTGACATACACAACTAACAAGTGTAAACTAATAAAGATATGGTCAATGCTAATACAATGAAATGGGAAGACTAAAGAGAACTATTCCGATGGATCTATAATTCTTTTCCACTTTGAAAAGATAAGAAAATTGCTACATTGACAAAATATTAGTGAACTGAAACATTCTAAAAGTGAAAATTAATTACTTGTAGAGTCTTAGTCCAATTAATAATAAAAATTAACCATTTATGACTATCATTTCTTCTAAAAATTCTCTTGCTTTGCAATTTACATTCATCTTAATGCATAGCTTCTTCATTCACAAATTTAAATAATCATTTCTTCAACAATGGAAGGAAGAATAATAACATATGGGGAATTAATTAAAAATAACAAACGAATCCAATAACAAACCTGCAAAACACCATAGATGACTAGAGTGATCATAATTCCAGACACAGCAAAAATCCCTTTCCATATCTTGCTCTCCTTAACATTATCAATAGTCGTTCCCATCAACATCAAAACCAAAACTTTTCTTTCTCACTTCAAAAGAAAAAAAAAAAAAGGCCAGAGAATAAACATTAAACCAAAAAATAATTGCACCAACACATCTACGTAATCGCGTGTAGAAACACAAGTAGGAGAGCTTAGGGGCAGAGAATCGAACCAGAAGTGAAGGGACAGACGGTGGTCTGCTGTGGAAACGAGCGGAGCTGAGTAGCCCGTGGATTTGGGATCAGGCGACCACTTAGGTGGACGTGTGGCGGAGTTATAGGCCGGAGGAGCAGATACTTGGACTGAGAAAACAAGAGCGGGTTTGGTTGAGTCTTTGAAGAGATCAGCTGAGAGTCGCCTTATCCGGCGCCTTTTGCTCCTCACCGTGTTGCTTTCCGGTCGCTTCAGGTGTTTTGTTTAGCTTTTCGACAAAGCCTTAAACTTAAAATGGTTGCCACGTCAGCACCTGACTGTGACTGCCCGTTTAAGATGGGGGTTCTGACACGAAGGGGAAATTTTGGACCGTTGATTTCAGGTCAACACACCGCGAAAGTCCTTGCTTCATATGGTGTAAAATGTAGAGAAAAATCATACTCTTTTTTGGAGAAAAAAAAACGATAACTGTACTATTTAAGGAAGAGATGCTATCCACCTTATGGTTATGTTTAAAGATTCAAAGATTAAGAGGAAAATGCCAACGAACTTAAATACTTTATAGTTATCTCTTTTTATTAAAAGTAAAAAATGTTGAATTCGAGTCACATGA